TGGTTCTTAAGCACAATATTTGCATTTTGCTTAACGGAGAATTGAGATTCTATTGAACTGATAATGGTTTGTATTGGGCAGTGTTCATGTATGGCAGTGAATATATTTGTTATGTGTCTGTTTGATAAAGTACTAAACTATACTGGACCTCGATTCCTTCAATGAAAAGTTTGAAACTCAAGTTCAAAGTCAAATTTCCCTCCTTCCTCCTCCCTCCTCCGTATTTCCTCCTCGCTCCCCCCCCCCTCTCCCTCTCTCTCTCTCTCTCTCTCTCTCTCTCTCTCTCTCTCTCTCTCTCTCTCTCTCTCTCTCTCATACACACACACACTTTTTTATATTTAAGAGATGCAGAGCTCACCCTTACCATTGTTTATTTGTAACAAATATGTCCCTTGTTTCTCTGCAGGGTTGCGTCTTGAAGCCAACAATGAGCCTCAACAATTGTCTGCCTTCTGCTACTGTTGAGTCCCTTCTCGACAGAGGCCTACCTGAGAAAAACATGCGCGAGGAGAGGGGCCAATCAGCACCTGATCAAATTCAGGTACAGGTATTTTGAATACTTGTGAGACATCGTGGTGAAATCAGGCGCTTGTCAAAAGAATAAATTCGAAGAAACCGGCATTGCTGTTTGTTTGGCAAGTTTTATCGATTTTTATTTTTCGGCTCAACATATTTTGTGTCAATCTAAAAACACATTTCTAGGTAGATTTTACTTTTTTTTTAAACAAGCACCCCTTGTAATTTTAAGTTTCCATCAACTACGAGTATCAGGCTATGGAAGTCACCACATATTGGCTGTCATTTTCTCACTAACTTTACCGCTGAAACCAGCAATTTAGATCTTCAATATCGGATATTATCTCGATTTCTATTTAAGATGTTCCGGTATTTTTCATCGAGAGCAAGTTGGAAGATGATACTAATAACTCCACATACCCCAAAACTGACGAGCGCCTGATTAAACCGTGTCGTGACGCAATCACGAGGGCTAAGTGTGGATAAAGCACAATGTGGACCGACAATATCAAAGTATGGACTGGCCTGAATGCTACAAACCTGCACTAGAGTAGCTCAAGAAGAAGAAGAAGAAGAAGAAGAAGAAGAAGAAGAAGAAGAAGAAGAAGAAGACAGACAGACAGACAGACAGACAGACTGACAGACAGACAGACAGACTGACAGACAGACAGACAGACTGACAGACAGACATATATACATCACTGCCTATGAATTACAAGGTTCTATCTGATATTTTTGTTCATTTTCGATCACTAAGACCATGAGGTTGGAAGCCATATGATGATATTCTATCTGGTCCGTCACAATCGTAAGGTTATTCGGTGTCGTTATCAAGATACTCAAAGAATGGCTTTCGAAAAAGTTTGACTTGTTGTGAAACTCAAAATTTTTAACGTCCGATTTCTCTGAGCAGATAGAACTTTGGAATTCTATTGTCGCAATATGTGTAATCAGCAGTAGACAAAAGGCTACTTTGTGATCCAAATTGCATTGTCATACGCAAATAATTCATCAGAAATACATATTTGCGGCATCGTGGTCAAATCAGGCGCTCGTCAAAATATTGAAATTAAAGAAACTGGTGGGGATTTTTTCAGGCCGTCTGGCAGCTTTGTTCTAATTTCCTTTTATTGACCCAACACCTTTTACATCCATCAAAAAACACTTCGGTATTGATTTTATTGAAAGATATTGGTTAAAGGCACACAAAAATATAAAGTTGTAGTTTCTAAGGTCTCTCAAGCTATTGAACTTTCCAAACTTTGGCGGCCATTTTCTGGATAATTTTACCTCTAAAACCAGGTGACCCTTTATTCTACTACTGCAAATATCTCGACTTCTATTAAATATAAATGGATAATTTTCCCCCAAAAGCAAGGCAATAGAACAGGCTTTAAGATGACACCAATAACTTCATATGCCCAACAATTGACGAACGCCTGATTCTACCACGTTGTGCCACAAGTGCAATATTTCAGAATGTGCCTGTTGTTGCCTGCCTCTTTTAAGTTTCAGAAAAAATAACAAAACTGATAAATCTGTATCAATAAAGTATGTATAGCTATATTTTTAAGCGCCCAAAGCAATGTGTCTTCGAGCGTGGGGTAATAATATAATGTAAAACGCTTTGAGCTTGCTGTAAAGCGGGGTTATGCGCTATACAAGTGCTATTTATTATTATTATTAT